AGATGATATTAAATCAGCACTAGCTTTTATGATGTGTTGTTTTCTTCAGAATAGCTATTTGTACTATCACCGATACTAACATCTAACAACCCAGGTTAAATCCATTGCAATTAATGAGTGATAACATTATATGGATTCAAACCAATATGATTGGGAATCATGATTACCACACAGTTTTATGTATTCTTATCATTTCTTACACTAGGGAAACTATTCGGTATTTATACATGTGAGTTTGATTTATTTCCCTTATGAGTATGGTCTCAAGCTGTGGCCATTTGTTTATAAATATCTCAATGTGATCATTCTTTATAGCTGAGTAGTACTCCATTGTATAAAAATATCACAACTTTTTTATCCATTCCTCAGTTGATGGACACTTAGGTTGTTTCCAAGATCTGGCTATTACAAATTGTGCTGCTATAAACATAGGTGCACATATATCACTGGGATACGAGGCTTTCAGATCTGGGAATATGCATACAAGTGGAATAGCTGGGTCAAATAGGGCTTCCAGTCCCAACTTTTTGAGAAATCTCCAGACTGACCTCCACAATGGTTGTACTAGTCTACACTCCCACCAACAGTGCAGGAGAGTTCCTTTTTCCCCACAGCCTCTCCAGCATTTGTTGTTGGTGGCTTTCTTGATCTTGGCCACTCTTTCAAGAGTGAGATGAAATCTCAGTGTGGTTTTAATTTGCATTTCTCTAATGACCAATGATGGTGAACATTTTTTCATGTATTTATTTGCCATTTGAATTTCTTCATCTGAAAATTGTTTATTCATCTCAGATGCCCATTTTTGGATTGGGTCTTTGAATTTTGGGGGTCTGATTTTCTTTTAATTCTTTATATGTTTTAGACAGAAGCCCTTTGTTGAGGAGCAGTTCACTAAGATTTTTTTCCCAGTTTGTGGGTTTTCTTTTCACTATGCTGGAGATTTCTTTTGATGTGCAGAAACTTTTTAATAAGAGATGATCCCAGTTATTGATTCTGGGAAGTATTTCCCGTGTGGTTTGAGTCCTGTTCATGAATTCTTTACCTACTCCTATGTCTTCAAGGTTTTTACCCAATTTGCCTTCCAATAGATTTAGTGTTTCTGTTTTAATATTAAGATCTTTGATCCATTTACATTTTATTTTAGTACATGGTGGTAGGCATGGGTCTAGTTTTAATTTTTGGCATATGGAGAGCCAGTTTTTCCAACACCATTTATTAAAGAGACTGTCATTCTCCCAGTGAACATGTTTGGCCCCTTTATCAAAAATAAAGTGGTTGAATGTGTTTGTAGTTGTGGTTGTATCTTCTAATCTATTCCACTGATTGTCAGCTCTGTTTTGGTTCCAGTACCATGTTGATTTTACTACAGTTGCCTTGTAGTATAACTTCAAGTCAGGGATTGTGATACCTCCTGCCTTGCCTTTGCTGCTTAGAACTGTCATTGCTATTCTAGGTCTCTTCTCGCTCCAGATGAATTTTAGGAGTGATTTCTCGAGTTCTATGAGGTATATTGATGGTATTTTTATCGGGATTGCATTGAATCTATATCAAAGTTTTGGTAGAATGGCCTTTTTCACTATATTTATTCTTCCTATCCATGAGCAAGGGATGTCTTTCCATTTTTTGAGATCATCTTAAATTTCATTTTTCAGTGTATTATAATTTTCCTTGTATAGGTCTTTCATTTCTTTCATGAGAGTAATTCCTAAATATTTCATTTTTTTGGTTGCTAGTGTGAAGGGTGTTGCCTCTCTTATTTCTCTCTCTGTGACTTTGTTGTTAGTGTATAGGAATGCTATTGATTTTTGAGTATTGATTCTGTATCCAGCTACATTATTGAATTTATTTATTTTATCTAGGAGTCTTTCAATGGAGTTTTGGGGATCTTCTATATAGAGTATCATGTCATCTGCAAATAATGATAATTTAACTTCTTCTTTTCCTATCTTTAAGCCTTTTATTTCTCTCTCTTGTCTAATTGCTCTGGCCAGTATTTCCAGTACTATTTTAAATAGGAGGGGTGATAAGGGACATCCTTGTCTTGTGCCTGATTTTAAAGTAAAGGCCTTCAATTTTTGGCCATTTAGTATGATATTGGCTGTTGGTTTGTCATAGATGGCCTTAATTATATTAAGGTAAAGGCCATCTATTTCAGTTTTCTGAAAAGTTCTTATCATAAATGAATGTTGGACCTTATCAAAAGCTTTTTCTGTATCTATAGAAATGATCATGTGATTCTTACTTTTGGCTTTATTGATATGGTGGATTACATTTATTGATTTACGTATGTTGAACCATCCCTGCATGCCTGGGATGAATCCCACTTGGTTGGGGTGTATGATCTTCTTGATAATTTGCTGCATCCTATTTACCAATATTTTATTGAGGATTTTTGCATCTGTGTTCATTAGGGAGATGGGTCTGTAGTTCTCTTTTTCAGTTGGGTCCTTCTCTGGTTTTGGTACTAGAGTAATATTTGCTTCTAGCAATGATTTAGGAAGGATTGCTTCCCTTTCAATTTCATTGAAGAGTTTGAGGAGTGTTGGCATTAGGTCATCTTTGTATTTCTCGTAGAATTCTGCAGTGAATCCGTCTGGGCCTGGGCTCTTCTTTGTTGGTAAAGATTTAATTATGTTTTCAATTTCATTAATAGAAATTGGGTTATTCAGTAGTTTTACATCTTCATGACCTAGCTTTGGTACTTGGTATGCTTCTAGGAATCTGTCTACTTCCTCTGTGTTATCAAACCTTTGAGAGTAGAGGTTTTTGAAATAGGTGTTGATGATCTTCTCTATTTCTATAGGGTCTGTAGTAATTTCGTTGACTTCATTTTTTGTGTTGAGAAGTCTGCTGAGATTCTGATAGGTTTTCCTTTATAGGTGATCTGTCTTTTGTCTCTGACAGCGGTTAATATTCTATTCTTATGTTGTATTTCTGGGATGGTGATTATTATATGTCTGGGTGTAGTTTTCTTTCAGTTATGGCTATTTAGGGTTTTATATGCTTCACTAATCCATATGGCAGTTTTCATTCTCATGTTTGGGATATTTTCAGCCATTACTTCTGTAAATAGCTTCTTGATGTCATTTTTTTGTTTTTCATTTATCGCTGTCAATCTTATGTTGTTTTTCTTTGCAACAGGTTTGCAGCTGTTGAATTGTTATTTTCTGATTCCTTATTATTTTTAAAAGATCTTTCCTTTCCTGTTCACTAGCTGCAATCTTGTCTTTGAGGTCTGAAATTCTCTCTTTTCTTTTGTTGAGGTGGGTTTAAATGGAATTTTGATTTCCTGTATATCTCTTTGAATCTGCTTCATGTAGTTTCTTTTATTGTTCATCCAGAGATTCTTTTTGCATTATTCCTCAATTTTTAAACTATGTCTTCTTTAGATGTGCTCTGTATTTCTTTCCTTACTTTTATTATTTCTTCTTTTACCTGGGAGGTGGTTTCTAACTTGAATTCCTTTATAGCTTCCTGGATTTACTTCTTTATTTCAGTTGCTATTATTTCAGATATATGGCATATATTTTTTTGTATGTACATGGCTCCTAGGTTTTCTTGGGAATGGCTGGAGGTTTGAGAGTGCCTTTTCATCTTTCATCTTGTCATTTTCCTATATTACCATGTTTCAAGTGATATTCCAAAGCTTTTCCTGGGCATGTTGGAAATTGTCTCCTGTGCCCTCAGCTCCTGGGACTGAATGGAGGTTGCTGAGCATGGTTCAGTCAGGCCCACAGGCCCTCCCATGCCACCTTTGGTGTTCTCGGAAGCTCGGTGGGCTCCTAACCACTGTGAGTGATGGTCCAAAGCTCTTCTCGGGCAAGTGCTAATGTGCTGGAACTCACTTCATGTGCCCTCAACTCCCCTGATAGACAAAGTTTGCTGGTCTTGGTCTAGTAGGGTGCAAAACCTCCCAAGCCTAGTCTAGTGTGGCTGGTAGCTGGGCAGGTCCTTGACCACTGGGAAAAATGATCTTAAACTCTCTTGGGGCCTGAGCTGGTATGAAGGAACTCACTTCCTGTAGCCAAGTTCCCTGGAGTGAAAGAATGTCACTGGGCGTGGCCTAGCCAAGCTGAGAAACCTGCAGAGCTCAGTCTAGTGTGGCTGAATGTTGAGTGGGTCCTTAATCACTGGGAGCGATGATCTTAAACTCTCCCTGGGGTCCCACCTCCGGTGTGCAGGAACTCACTGCTGGCAGCCCAGTTCCCTGGACTGAAAGAAGGTCGTGGCCCAGGCAGGCCGGAAACTTGCAGAGCCCAGTCTAGTGTGGCTGGAAGCTGGGCGGGTCCTTAAACTCTGGGAGTGATGATCTTAAACTCTCCCCAGTCCCCTGCTGCTGCTGTGCGGGAACTCACCCTGCTCATAACTGTTACATTTGTGCAACTGTTGTTACTATGCCAGGGTGTTTATGGTTGCAAAAATGATTTCTGCATATTTTATTATATGAAGTGATTTTATATGTCTTTCCTATAAATCTTCTTTTTGTGTAAATGAATGTAACTAAAATAAAACTATGTATATATTATATGTATATAATTTATTTATGGTGCTGAGGATAGAAATCAAGACCTTACATATTGTTAGGCCAGTTCTCTACCATCTAGCAAAACTCTCAGTCTCTCAAATGAGGTTTATTTCCTAACCAGATGAAACAGAGGAATATTCCACATCAGACAAACACTATTTATTTCACACTCTTAGTCTTTAAATATTTAGATCCATCTTTTATATTTAATATTATATTTGCAATTAATTTTTTCATAAAAATTTATATTTTGTATAAGTATGTTCAGTGTACGAAGTTCTTCTGTTATTTAGACAATTCTCATAGTTTTTAAGAGGTATTTATATCCAGCAAGAAGAAATGCCCTGAAGACCAATACCTGTGGAATCAGGACAACATTTATTTCCAGTTAAGGGAGGAAAATGTTTTGTTCAAGAGAAGCATGCAAAACTTATCCAGCGTTCTGGAGTTTGATGGGCTGACAGCTTGCTCCCACCTAAGGAGATTTTCCTTTGGGAACTGGTGTCGGGTAGGGATCAAATATCCACCACTTTCTACAGCATTTCTTTGTCTCATTGCATACACCGATGGTGTCTTCCGTGGAAGTGCACGCGATGTCTTTGCACACTCCTTTCAGGACAATGCACTGCTTCTCTCCTGGGATAACGCCAGTTTTCCCTGCACAGAAAGAAAGTTTACAGATGAATTCACTCGGAAATTATTTGAAATACATGTGAAGCATTAAAACCCACAAAACATGGCTTCAAGATATGAGACACATATTGCCTACCCGGAAAGTTCAGACTTTGACAACAGTAGGGAGGGCTCCTCTCCTTTCCCGGGAGAGGAGCCAGGACTATGTGATAGCACCCACCTTGGAGTGGCAGGCTGATTTCTAAAAGCCTAGAGATGTGGTCCTCACACGGGGTAGTACACTTTGAAATGGGCAAACCCTTTATTTCCCAGCATGGCTGGGTTTCTTGTACAATGAACTGTCCCTGGCTAAATGCCAACCATGCTTCCGCTGGAGAAGCTCTGTTTGGAAGACCGTCTTCCCTCTTCCCACTTCTGCCTGTGTTCAGATCATCCTCACCAGGAGGAATGAGTCTTCATCTCTGCCTCCTGCTGCAGAAAGCCTGTGGGTCCTTCACATACCAACTTAACTAACTCCTTTTCAGAACTACAGACCAAATAACTTCCTTGAGTTATTTAATGCCCCTTGTATATAGATTCTTGGGAAGATACCTCTTAAGAGCTGAAAAGCGATTTGTGTTAGAACTGGAAGGCATTTTTTCCTAAGTATATTTGTATGGTTTCCTAATTCATTTGGCCACTGACGACCCCAGAGCTAAGTGAGTGCTTCTTCTTCTTCTTCTTTTTTTTTTTTTTGTAAGTTAAGCTTCATCTTTATTAAAAAATATTACACAAGGATGTATTTAAAATTTTGAAGGCCATGAAATTTCTCGGGACAAGCAGAACTACAGGTTTACTGAAAATAATCTTTTCTCCTCTGTATCCACTTTCACATTTTCAAATACCCAGAAAGCAGACAAGATCAAACAACTAGATAGTAAAACAGTGACTTTAAAAAATTGTACCATAAACCTGTAAGAATGGTAACTTGAAGAAGAGACATTATAGTAACCATTGTTGATTTTCTATTGTCTGTTTTGAAGGTCCATAATGCTTTCATTCTTTTGTTTTCATTAGTTTTATACTCTTTTGTTTTGTTTGAATTCATTATGTGTGAAGGTATGGACAACTATTTCGAAGAAAACAAGACATTATGGTAGCCACTGTTGATTTCCTGTTGTCTTGTTTTGAACTCCTGTGTTGTTTATATTGTTCTGTTCTGATCTGCTTTGTTCTGTTTGGTGTTGTTATGTTTTATTCTCTTAAAACATTTTTTTTTAAAATGGTAACTTGTATAAGTTTAGCCACTTGGGGGCAACCTGAGACTTTATGTTTCTCAACAGGAACACTGTGACTGACTCGTTTTTTCATAAAGAAAACACAAGAAATGCCATTTAAAAATATATTTTTTCTTGACATATCCTGAAATTTTTGGTTAACAGACACAAAGCCCAAATCATGCAAACAATTTATCCTATATTTTAAAAGAGCAAAGTCATGTGATAGCCATATAATGAATAAAGTATGGCTTCCCTGACAAAAAGGTTAGGAATTAAGATATTTGGAGTGCTGCATTCCTGAATTCAGTTCAGTTTTAGCCATGCTTACTTACTGTAGGACATTAAAACCTAAAATAATGGGCTTAGGAAGACTTAATTAGGGACACTGAGGCACTTACCTGCATACTGAATGCCAGGAGAAATCCCAGCATCAGAGAGAGAAACTGTTTTCCTGACTGAGGTGTTACTATAAAGGTGGAAAGGTGGAACTGAGACCTCAATTCGTGTACACATTTTGGCCAGCACTAGCTTTATCACATCTAGAGATTCATGGACAAAACAAGTTATCAATTCAAAAACTGATTACTTTTTAAGAAGAATATGCAGGAAATATAAAAGTAGTTTGGTGGAAAGGAAACCTTAATTTTGCTGGAAATGAGAGGGTGTGTGTTAGCGAGAAGACAATCCTGGGTCCAGTTTCTCCCCTGGAGCCCGGGTTACATTAGATGAGGTGCTCAGCATGAACCTCCTAATGCAGGCACCGTGGCATCCTCAGAGTGCTTCACTTCCTTGGCAGGTGCCTCCTGGCCCCACTGTCCTGTCCTTTTAAAGCATCATGGCCAGGCTTTCTGGACGTCTCAGGGTCTTTTGGACTTTTCAGTTTAACACTTTTCAAACCCAGAAGGGGGCACACTTTTCTGCTCACAGACTTCTTAAGTGTGCACCTGCTGACCTGTAGGTAGAGTCTTCCTCATCTGGGATCTGACCACCAGGGAGGTGCATTTCAAATTAGCCTGTGTGACCTTGCATCTTTTCGTAGCAATGGTAATGCATTTGGCAGGTGTCTTAAAAGAGGATCAGTCACCACCCTGCATCTGCACGCAGTTCTGACCCTCTTTCTTGTAAGGCTGCAGTCAACAGAGTCTGAAGATGCATCTCCAGAACCTTTCATTTGGTAATCAAAAGTTATACAGTTCTTGTATACAACATATACAGTTCTTGTAGAAAATAATTCTATCTGGGGAAGATGAATATCGAGGTTATCAATGAAAGCAATGAACATCTGAAGATTTGGGTCACACTTGAGAAGTTACTGCCAAGTTTAAATGAAGTAATGTATGTATGGATTCTTGCAAAACACCCTGCACATTCAGTGCGCATATGGCTGGTTATCTTCCTAACAAATCAGTAATACAGTGACTTAGCAGAAAAAGCCCACATACTGAAATTTACAGTTCAAAGATCATGACTTTTCAGTATGGAAAATCATTAAAACTACTAAATTAAATTATTTTTCTTCTCTACAACTTAAGTATTTCTTCTTACACTGTGATTCACAAAGTGAAACACACTTCTATATCAAGCTGTGCCCACTGTAATTTCATCAGATCCAGGGTCAAGATCAAAGAGATATGTGATTCCTCTGTTGTCATGTGACTGCCATTGTCTTTTGGTTTCTTCACTTGTGGTCACCTCTCCAACGCATTCCGTGACAAAACTCATTCTTTTAATCTTCACAAGGGTCTTCACGCCCCAGCCCCAGCCACTGCTGGTTCAGAAGATGCAAAGTGGATGCGGTGTGCCCTTCTGTACCACCCTATGGGGACAGTCAGGTCCACAATGGCATCTTGAATCACATTCATTGGTGGGAGTATGAGGTGGGATTTTAATGTGTTGGTTCTTATCATAAACCAATATAGCATCAGCCTCAGGAGAGCAATGTTTCTCAAAGAAGCAATGTGTGTGTGAACAACTAAAGGTTACTTCACTGGCTAAGCCTATTCCATGTGCTGCTTTGTGTTCATTAAGGTAGTAGAAGTCTGGAGGTGGGCCCTCTAAAGCAACAGTATTTCCAACATATATCATTCCTTCATGGTTCTTTCTTCTGCTGAGTTCATCTTGCCTCTTTTGCAGAGTTAGCATTTGTTTAGCTTTCTTTGCAATGTACTGAGCAATAGCAAGTTTCAAAGTTTTGTTATCATCTTTTGGAATTATTGCTTTGCCTGTCTTTAGCTAAGATAAATAATTATGCTTGTCATTAAAGAGTTGCTGATACATTAATGGGCACTTGAGTTTTGCAAAGCTTCCCAAGTGTTTGTAGAATCCAGCCATCCTTCTCATTTTATAGGGTAGTATTCCAGATCCTCCTCCAGCCCTGGTCCCGGTCACCACCGTCTTGGAGAGGGTTCATTCCAAGTGTGTGCTTGTATTCAGTAGTTTTCTTTAGTGTTCTTCCTCTTGCCTGTTCAACATACCCAAAAGTTCATTCTTTCCACTGGAGGTGACAGTGCACAGTACATCAGAGTGACACTCCTGTTACGTTTCTCAACACAAATCAGTTCCTCATCACCTTATGAAGCCACTTTGATCTCATTTTGTTTTTAAAATCCTGTAATATGCTAACTTCTGACTGGCTTCTTTAATGCTTAACTTCCATGGCTGCACTAACAATTTGAAATTTTTTTTTTTTTTGTGGTGCTGGGGGTTGAACCCAGGGTTCTTTCTCTTGCTTTGAAAGTTGTTCTGAAATACTAAGCTATCATCATTTGTTTTCTCTGTAGAAAAATATCTCTAGTCAGATAAGACTGCAGACTTTTGGCACTGAATGTTTGTAACCCATGTAAGACCCCCGATAGAGATATCAACCCAGAGCAGTCTGGTGCTATGCTGTGCTGCTAGGGCAGTGACCTACAGACTCAGAGTTTCTGAGGGACAAAAATAATGGCATCATGGAGCTTGATAATATGCTGCAGTGCTGCCTCTGCTTTGCCTGAACAATTCTGGGTATGAGTGAATTGTCAGGGAGAAAACCAAAGTCTCACCAGCCAGCTTGGGGAAGACGATGGCTCAGTTGTGGTGTTCAGCCAAAATGCAGACTTAGTTCTCAGCAGCATAGAAGTATTGTTGCCTGCTCTTTTTTTTCCCCTTGGAGAAGGAGGAGGGCAAGAGTAAGGGTGGGAAAAAAAGGATAAAACATTGTCAAGATGTATTCCCTCAGTGAGGTGGGGAGAGGGAAAGAGAAGGGGTGATAAAAAGAATTAATATGCATTCTGCATACATGTCAAAGCTCCATGATGAATGTAACTACTAGATACAAGTGAATCTGAGTCTGCAAAAAGAAGAAGGGGGATGGAAGGAAGGGGGAAAGAATTGAGTTATGCTCTATACATGCACAAATTCCCTACAATGCATATAATCATTAGATCGCAAACAGATACTAATAAAAATTTAAAAATCTAAAAATTAAAAAGATACATTAATATGTACATATATAAATCTTCAATAGGAATGTTAATTATTAAATATTGTGAACACAAACTATATATAAAAAACAATAGTAGATCTGCCCTCTTAACAAATTTTTAAGTCCTATAGACATGATCACTGATTTCCAGAATATTTCCTTTTTTATTGAGGCAAGGTATTACTATGTAGTTCTGGCTGGCATTAACCTTAGGGCATTCCTCCTGCCTCAGCCTACCAAGTGCTGGGATTACATGTGTGTGCCCCCATGCCCAGCTGATTTTCATCCTGTATAATTGAAGTTTTATACAAAACTCCATGGTATACCCCTAGTACCTACCAAACTTTGTCCTAGCATCTGTTTCAATGAGTTTAACTATTTTAGCCACCTCATAAGACGGAATCATGCAGTATTTCTCTTCAGTGCCTGGCTTATTTACTTAATTTAAGGTCCCCCAGGTTTATCCATGTGGTTACACATAGCAGAAACTCTTAGTTTCCTTAATATCTAAGTGGAAGTGTTTGAAGCAGAGGTCTGACAGGAATTACGATTGCCATTTTTATATGCATACTCACATTGGTGGGGTTGGTAGCAGGAATGGTGAGACAGGTTAAAGATACATAGAGTGTTGTCTTTATCTGTGTAACCTTAGAAAATCATATTCCTGATGTAGACACAGTTTCTGTTAGACAGAGTGAAAGGTTTGACCATTAAAGTGTCTTCTAACCTTAAATAAATACCAATATTACACATTAAAGTGTGTCTTACCACAGCTATATCTTCTGACCAAAGCTGAGAAATGAAATGAGAATTTATACTTTCTAAGCACAAGACAGCTATATAGCAGATAGAGTCCAAGATGTATTGTAAGTTAGGCCACAAGTGAGTAGCTTTCATTGTACTTAGAATCTCAGGTGTGAACTAGTGAAGAAGTCCATGTTCAGTGACCATAGACATTTTTGATAAATACAGGTGTCCTGCCACTGAGAGTAGGGAAAAGAATTTTATCAGTTACTATGAGGATATGAATGAAACATTTAGATGGTGACTATATTATAGCTTTTACTTTTGATTCTACATTTAAATGTTCAAACATTAGAATTATTGCCCTAAAGATTAAATGTAGATTATTAAAATGGTTGCTACACTGTTTAAAAAAATTTATCCTTGAAGCTCCATTTTGTTGTGTATAGTTCCTCAATTTGCTCTGTTTCCAAATTTATATTGAAGGTTTATTACTGATAAAACCCTTTTGGAGTTCTGTCTCATTTTCTTAATATTCACCTGCACAGCTGTTTCTTATCAGGACACTAGATACATTCATTCACTAACCAAGTCATAATCAACACCTGCCATCTTTACTCTCTTTGTGGATAGTGGCTTCCAACTGGTAGATACACCCTCTAATTATCAAGCCTTAGGTTCCATGTCAAAGTTTCTATACCTCTGTTTCTCTAGCTGGATCCTATTTTTAATAATACCATTTTGGTTCTGTTTTGTATTTGATAAAATTCCTTGTCCCCTTCTCAGTTTTGACCTCACCAGTTCTAAATGAGATATGGGACTTTTGAAAATTTACAGCTTGCATCACTATTTGAGCACCAAAGGCCAGTGATGACTGTGCCTAGGAAACCTTCCTCGACAGTCAGCTTACCATCTTACCTTTTGCTACCATAGTCACCAAGAGGAGGAGAATGGGAAGAAGAGTACAAAATCTCATGGTTCTGTGCCCTCTAGAGTGGTCAGGGCTCAGGCTGGTGAAACGCAGAGCTTTTATTCACTTCTGGGGGCCTGAGGTTCCTCTTGGTCAGTGAAGCTTAACAAGGAAAGAAATAAAGCAATTCTAATGGAATATTTCCAAACCATGGAGTATCTAAATTTGGTGAAAAATTAACCTAACTACAGGAAACTGGATGGCTAATGGTTTCCTTTTTCTATGGGTTTTCAAATGAATGAGAGGTTACTACCCTTAGTCAGTTTTCTCTTATGAAACTTTTAAGAATAATTTCTTCTTTCTGTTTTTCCCAAAATTTTAAATTGGTATATAAAATATGTGTTTGTATTTTTGGGGCACAGTGTTATAATTCAACGTTTCTATAAAATGTATAATGATGAAATCAGGATATTATACTTTCATCTCATCAAATATTATCATTTTTATGTTAAGCAGCTCCAAACTGTTCTTCTTTACTTTCTTTTGAACTGTATATTTAATTGTTGTGGACTACTGCTAATTTCTTGTTAACATAACGTGTGACCTTTTGGAAGTCTAATTGTATTCTGATACCAGTTATCTGACTTCTGACTAAATCCACCTAACTTGTTCTCTCTTTAATCTCTAGTGACATCTATTGTACTCTTTGTCTCTCTTTGCCTGTCACATTTTGCTTAATATAACATTTTCTAGTTACATTTATGTTGTCACAAATGATGAAGTTTGCGAACCATCGAAAATCACTATTGAAAAAGACCTAAGCTAGAGAATTGTTAGTTTGGTAAAGTGTTCACTTTATTGAAAAATATATTGGTGTGAAATCATGTGGTATTACCTTTGTGTGATTGGCTTATTTCTTTTCGTTTTTTATTAAAAAATGAAAAAGGAGATTAAGATAAAAGAGGACATAGCAACAGAAGAACACAGGTTACTACAGAATTAAGCGACATAGTGTTTCACCACAAGATAATTCGACATAACAGTAGTTACCATAGTGTCTCTTTCCTTGAAATATTTGAGTATAACTTCATATACTATAGCATCAAACATATCAAGACAGTTAAAACCATTCAAGAGAATGAAAGTGTTACAGGGTATTTAGAACCAACTAACAGAAAACAAACAATGGTTTCTATATTATCTCCTGTCTATAAAAAATTTTGTTTGTACTATCACAGATAATAAAATCCAATAAGATACAACATGATAAGACTGATGAAGACAGAAGAACAAAAGCTTGATGGGACTTCAAAATAAGATGATATTAAATCAGCACTAGCTATAATGATGTCTTGTTTTCATCAAAATAGCTGTTCATACCATCACAAACAATAAAATCAAACAACCCAGAATAAAACCATTCCAATTAATGAATTAAAACATTATAAGGCTTCAAAGCAATATAATGAGGAATCATGATTACCACATACTTTTACGTATTCTTATCATTTCTTACACTAGGGAAATTATTCGGTGTTTATTGAGTTTGATTTATTTCATGCATGGATATGGTCTCAAGCTGTGCCCATTTATTTATAAATATTTCAATGTGATCATACTTTATAGCTGAGTAGTACTCCATTTGTCATGGTTTATGTCTGTGGTCCCCAGGCCTCATAAGTTTGCACTGTGCATTTGTGATGCTTCATTGTCTAGTGCGTGGATTGATGGTATCAGTGCTCCACCCACATAGGGGTGGAGCCAGGATGTGATGTAATAGCAGGAACAAGGTGTGTCTTGCTCTTTGCTGGTTCTGGCTTGCTGTTTGTAGCCACCATGAACTGCGGCCAAGCCATGCCCACCAGCCTTGGAGCCAACTGAGTGTGGACTGAAACCTCCAAAAACTGTAAGAAATAAATCTTTCCTTTCCCAAGTTGGGCTTCAGGTATTTTGTCTCAATGATGAGTAAAAAGTAACTAAGACACCATTGTATAAAAATACCATAGCTTTTTTATCCATTCCTCAGTTGAATGAAACTTAGGTTGTTTAAAGTTCTGGCTGTTACAAATTGTGCTGCTATAAACATGGGTGCTCATATTTCACTGTGGTATGTGATGATTTCAATTCTTCTGGGTATATGCCTAGAAGTAGGATAGCTGGAACAAATGGGACTTCCAATACTAGCAATTTGAGGAGTCTCCAGCCTGATCTCCATTGAGGGAGGACCAGTCTACACTCCTACCAACAGCGCAGGAGAGTTCCTTTTTCCCCATAGCCTCTCTAGCATTTGTTATGGATGGTTTTCTTGATCCTGGTCATTCTTTCAGGAGGGATATGGAATCTCAGTGTGGTTTTAATATGCATTCTCTAATGAGTAATGATGATGAACATTTTTCATGTATTTATTTTCCATTTGTATTTCTTCATCTGAGAATTGTGTATTCATTTCAGATACCCATTTTGGACTGGGTCTTTGAATTTTGGGGGTCCAATTTTTAAAAATTCTTTATATGTTTTAGACAGAAAACATTTGTCTGAGGGACAGTTCACTAAGATTTTTTTTCCCAGTTTGTGGGTTTTCTTTTCACTATGCTGGAGATTTCTTTTGATGTGCAGAAACTTTTTAGTAAGAGGTGATCCCAGTTATCAACTCTGGGAAGCATTTCCCGTGTGGTTTGAGTCTTGTTCATGAATTCTCTATCTACCCCTATGTCTTCAAGGTTTTTACCCAATTTGTCTTCCAATAGATTTAGTGTTTCTGTTTTAATATTCAGATCTTTGATCCATTTAGATTTTAATTTAGTACGTGATTATAGGCATAGGTCTAGTTTTAGGTTTTGGCATTTGGAGAGCCAGTTTTTGCAACACAATTTATTAAAGAGACTGTCGTTCTTCCAGTGAACATGTTTGGCCCCTTTATCAAAGATAAGGTGGTTAAGTGTGTTTATAGTTGTGGTTGTATCTTCTAATCTATTCCATTGATCTTCAGATCTGTTTTTATTCCGGTACCACGTTGACTTTACTACAATTGCTTTGTAGTATAGCTTCAAGTCAGGGATTGTGATGCCTCCTGCCTTGTTTTTGCTGCTTAGAACTGTCTTTGCTATTCTGGGTCTCTTCTCACGCCAAGCAAATTTTAGGAGTGATTTCTCGAGATCTATGAGGTATGTTGATGGTATTTTTATTTGGATTGCATTGAATCTGTATAACAGTTTTGGGAGAATGGCCATTTTCACAATATTTATTCTTCCTATCCATGAGCAAGGGATGTATTTCCATTTTCTGAGATCCTCTTCAATTTCTTTTTTCAGTGTGTTATAATTTTCCCTATATAGGTCTTTCACTTCTTTCATCAGAGTAATTTCTAAATATTTCATTTTTTTGGTTGCTAGTGTGAAGGGGTTGGTTTTTCTTATATCTCTCTCTGTGATTTTGTTGTTAGTATATAGGAATGCTATTGATTTTGTATCCAGCTACATTGCTGAATTTATTTATTATATCTAAGAGTCTTTCAATGGAGTTTTCGGGGTCTTCTATGTAGAGTATCACATCATCTGCAAATAATGATAATTTAAGTTCTTCTTTTCCTATCTTTACCCCTTTTATTTCTCTCTCTTGTCTAATTGCTCTGGCTAGTACATCCAGCACTATATTAAATAGGAGGGGTGATAAGGGACATCCTTGTCTTGTGCCTGATTTTAAAGCAAAGGTCTTCAATTTTTGGCCATTCATTATGACACTGGCTGCCAGTCTGTCACAGATGGCCTTTACTATATTGAGGTAAAGACCATCTATTCCTATTTTCTGCAAGGTTCTTATCATAAATGAATGTTGGACCTTATCAAAAGCTTTTTCTGTATCTATGGAAATGATCATGTGATTCTTAATTTTGGCATTATTTATACAGTGGATTACATTTATTGATTTACCTATGCTGAACCATCCCTGCATGCCTGGGATGATTCCCACTTGGATCTAGAGTAATATTTGCTTCCAGGAATAACTTAGGAAGTATTGCTTCCCTTTCAGTTTCATTAAAGAGTTTGAGGAGTGTTGACATTAAATCTTTTTTGTACTTGTAGAATTCTGCAGTGAATCCGTCTGGGCCTGGGCTCTTCTTTGTAGATAAGGACTTAATTCCATTTTCAATTTCATTAATAGAAATTGGTTTATTCAACAATTTTACCTCTTCTTAACCTAGCTTTGGTACTTCATATGTTTCTAGGAATCTGTCTGTTTCTTCTGTGTTATCAAACCTATGAGAGTAGAGCTTTTTGAAATAGGTGTTGATGATCCTCTGTATTTCTACAGAGTCTGTAGTGAATTTTCCTCTTTCATTCCTTATTGTATGAATTTCAGCTTTTTCTTCACTGTTGTTAAATAAGGTTCACTAGGGGGTTATCAATTTTATTTGTTCTTTCAGAGAACCAACTCTTTGATTCATTGATTCTTTGGATTGTTTTCTTAGTCTCTATTGCATTAATTTCTGCTCTGATTTTTATAATTTCCTCCCTTCTTTTGGCTTTGGGCGTGACTTGCTCTTCTTTTTCTAGATGTTTGAGGTGTAGCATCAGGTTATTTTCTTGTATTTGTTTGGTTTTCCCGATGTGGGAACTCAGTGCAATAAATTTTCCTCTGACGCCGGCTTTCATTGCATCCCAGATTCCGGTAAGTTGTATTTGTATTTTCATTTGCTTGTAGGTATTGTTTAATTTGTTCTTTTATTATTTAAAGAGAAACAAAACAAAACAAAACAGTAAAAGGGTACAAGTAATACAAAATTTCAAGAAAAAAATATACAGTAAGAAATCACTAGTTAATAGATTACATATTATCATCTTAGAAACAGTTGTCCAAATTACAAAATTAAAGCATACAAAGTGGACATTCATACAGTGATATTACAGAGATTACTGTTCAATGATCCAACAAAAACTTAGTAATATGGTTTTCTATCCTACACACTTAAATATACATGCAGTTATATCATTTAGAGCACTTTCTTTTTCTCTCTTTTTTACAATAACAACTACATATTTTGGGCTTTATTACTCCCACAGTTCTTATTACTTTTTTTTGAAGTGAAAAAAAACCAAATGTGACAAAGCAAAACAGAGTTAGTTAGAACAGAAGGATGGACATAGGACATGATGCAAAAACAGAATACCAGGTGATCAACATGGTTACCATTATGCCTCTTGCTATCTTAAAAAGAGTTGCCTATATCATCAGGTATAATAGAATTGCACAAAACAGTACAGAACAGGACCAATAAAACCTACATTGGAGACCTTACAGGACTTCAAAAAGAAGATAATAGTCAAACCATAATGGGCATCATAGTAAATCTTATTGCCTTCAAAGTGGTTGCCTATACCCTCAAACTTGATGCTATTAAACAAAACAGAATATAGTAAAATCAGTCAGAACAAGATGGTGAGAGCAATACAGGGGTTCAAATCAAGTTAATAGGAAAACAAAAAAGTTACTATAATATATCCTGCTATTTTTAAATTTAGTTTTCCCTTAACTACAAAAAATAATAAGAAAAAAATAAATTAATTTAAAAAAAGGAAAAAAAGAGGGAGATTGAGATAAAAAGAGGACATAGCAAGAGAACAACACAGGTCAGAACCGAACAATTGAAGCATCATTTTGTTTCGCCACCAGATAACCCGATATAATAGTAGTTACCATAGTGTCTCTTTCCTTGAAATATTTGAGCATAACTTCACATGCTATAGCATCAAACATATCAAGACAGTGTGAAACCATTCAAGAGAATGAAAGTATTACAGGATATTTAGAACCAGCTAACAGAAAATGAACAACGGTTTCTATATTATCTCTTTGCCTATAAAAAATTTTGTTTATACTGTCGCATATATTGAAATATAATGAGATACAACATGGAAATGGATGAACAACAGCTTGATGAGACTTCAAAACAAGATGATATTAAATCAGCACTAGCTATTATGACATCTTGTTTTCTTCAAAATAGCTATTCATACTATCAAAGACAATAAAATCGAACAACCCAGATTAAAACCATTCCAATTAATGAGTGAAAACATTATATGGCTTCCAACCAATATGATTGGAAATAATGATTACCACATATTTTTATGTATTCTTATCATTTCTTACACTAGGGAAACTATTCGGCATTTATACATGTGAGTTTGATTTATTTCACTTATGAGTATGGTCTCAAGCTGTGTACATTTATTTATAAATATCTCAATGTGATCATTCTTTATAGCTGAGTAGTACTCCATTGTATAAAAATACCACAATTTTTTTATCCATTCTTCAGTTGATGGACACTTAAACTATTGCACGTTTTGCTACTATAAACATGGGTGCACATAGATCACTGTGGTACGATGCTTTCAGTTCTTCTGGGAATATGCCTAGAAGTGGAATAGCTGGGTCAAAGGGGGCTTCCAATTCCAGCTTTCTGAGAAATCTCCAGACTGACCTCCACAATTGTTGAACCAATCTAGACTCCCACCAACAGTGCAGGAGAGTTCCTTTTCCCCCACAGCCTCTCCAGCATTTGTTGTTGTTGGTTTTCTTGATCTTGGCCATTCTTTCAGGAGTGAGATGAAATCTCAGTGTGGTTTTAATTTGCATTTCTCTAATGACTAATGATGATGAACATTTTTTCATGTATTTATTTGCCATTTGTATTTCTTCATCTGAAAATTGTTTATTCACCTCAGATGCCCATTTTTGGATTGGGTCTTTGAATTTTGGGGGTATGATTTTTTAAAATTCTTTATATGTTTTAGACAAAAGTCCTTTGTCTGAGGGGCAGTTCACTAAGATTTTTTTCCAGTTTGTGGGTTTTCTTTTCACTGTGCTAGAAATTTCTTTTGATGTGCAGAACTTTTTAGTAAG